CATGTCAACCAGCAATGTAAATCGGCATTTCTGTGCATTGAGAACAATTCCAGTTGTACTGAAGAATGGTAACAGAAGAATAACTGTAAATGCATTGTTAGATGATGCAAGTACGCAGACATACATCAACGATGACATAGCTGCAGAATTAGGTCTTCATGGAACTCAGGAAAAGGTATGTGTTAATGTGTTAAACAACCGGAAACAAACCTTTGATAGTTGTTTAGTTGAGTTTGGTTTGGAGAGTGTTGATGGCTCTGTTGACATGATGATGACAGGCTTGACAGCTTCCAAGGTCACTGGTTCATTAGAAGTGATTGATTGGCAGCAGTACAAAACACATTACCCTCACTTGAACGACATACCATTTCCAAAACTCCCTTCACGTCCAAAGGTAGATATTTTGATAGGCGTTGATTATGCAGTCCTGCATTGTTCCAAAAAGACGTCAGCGGACTTCCAGGTGAGCCTATAGCCAGACATACGCCACTGGGTTGGTGTTGCATTGGCAGCATAAATCAGTTAGCTGGATCAACATCGAACTCCTTCTTTGTCCAAAGAAATGAAGATAAACAAGAGAGTTCTTTAGAAGAACTTATGCATACATTTTGGGAGGTTGACTCACTTCCACATCCAGGTAAAAATATCAGCATTGAGGATGAAAAGGTTGTAAAATCTGTAGAAAACAGTCTTTGTTACAGCAATGGCCGGTATCAGGTGAGTATACCATGGCGTGACAATGTTCACACTCTTCATAACAATTTTAACATGGCACAGAACCGCTTGATTCACACTCGAGAAGAAATTGAGTAAAGATGAGGCTATTGCAGAGGCTTATTCCAGATGTGATAGAGCAGTATGAAGCTAAAGGGTTAATCAGGAAGGTGTCTGAAAAAGAGAAAGCTGAAACACAATGGTGGTACTTACCTCATTTCTCTGTAAAGCTTGATAGGGATACAACAAAAGTTAGAATAGTCTTTGATGCTTCTGCAAAAGAGAAAGGTGTGTCATTGAATGATGTTATACATCGCTAGCCAAAACTACAAAAACGATTTGTTTGCCATTTTGCTTAGATTTAGTAAACATGCAGTAGCAATTGTCTCATGACATTGCCGGAAATGTATTTGCAGATTGAAATTTCGAAGAAGATCGAAAATTCTGCAGGTTTCCTTTGGCGAAAAGATAAAAGTAGACCACCCGATGTATACGAATTTTCTAGGGTCATTTTCGGAATGAACTGTTCACCATTCTTAGCTCAGTATGTAACACAGAGACATGCAAAACATCATGTAACTGAGTTTCCCTGCAACAGAGACTGTTAATGCCCTCAACGTACATGGATGATAGTTTAGATCCAGTTGAGACAGATAGCAAAGCGGTCAAACTGTATCACGAACTCATGGAACTTTCGAATTTGCGGCATGCACGCAAGAAAATGGGTATCCAATTCCTTGATTGTCATGGAAAACATTCCTATTGAAGATAGACTCAAAGAAGTCAATATTTGCATGTCCAAGCTGCCTCAACTAAAGACACTGGGTCTTATTTGGGATCCTGAACGGGATCTTTTCAGATTTGCTCAAAGTAGCACTACAGAAGTGCAATCTTTACAAAGAGAAGTTTCCTTAGAGAGACAGCTCGGCTGTTTGACCTTTTAGGCCTTCTTGCTCCTTTTACTGTCCGAGCAAAAATGCTGTTGCAAGATATGTGGCTACTACAGATTGTTGATTGGGATCAAAGCCTTGACCAAGACATTGACAGCAGATGTTGTCAGTGGTACGATGAAATGAAAGACTTGACATCTTTATCATTCAAAAGGTGCATCTTGACAAGAAACAACATTGATGATGTAAAATTTCATGTTTTGTCGATGCCTCAGAGAAAGCATATGGCGCTGTGGTGTATAGTGCTGATGCAAACGAAAAACATTTGTGGTCATCTTGTTGCTTCAAAAGGTCGAGAAGCACCTTTAAAAGCTCTTAGCATACCACGAATGGAACTACATGCAGCTGTTCTTGGAGTTAAGTTGGCTTTGGCAGTGGCTGATGCTTTGAAATGTGAGCTATCATCTATGGTCTTCTGGTCAGATAGCCAGAACGTCCTGAGTTGGATAAGAAACCAAAGCAGATGCTTTCGCCAATTTGTTGCTAATCGGGTTGGTTTTATTCATGAGAACACAATGCCTTCCCAGTGGAAATATATTCCAACAAGTATCAAACCAGCAGATGTTCTCTAGAGGTTCAATACTTCAATTTTTGAACAGCAAAACTTGGCAAATGGACCAGATTTCATTAGCCATTGTGAAGATGAATGGCCTGAACAACCAGAAAGGTTTCACAACACTGGAAACTTCTGAAAGCAAACTACCCAGTTTGCCTGTCTCTGTTACGTTTTTGACAGAGATTGACAGATCAAATTAGAAATTAGACTCTTCCAATTTTTCAGACTGGAAGAGACTTTGCCGCGATAATGGCTTGGACATGTAGATTCCTCAACAATGTTCGTTTGACCAGCTCCAAAAGAACATTTGGAGAATTAGATGTTGAGGAATTACAGGATGCAGAGACTCTGATTTTGTTAGATTGTCAGAAACAATCATTTCCTGATGAGTATGCAGCTTTGTCAAAGGGAAGGTCTGTATCAGCAAAAGCAAGTTACTCAGTCTCAAACCATTTCTTGATGAAAATGGTCTGATTAGATCAAGTGGGAGACTGCAGTTTTCTGATGATATGCCTTATGAAGCACGATGTCCCATCATCCTTCCAAGGAGACACTGGACAACAAAGTTGATTGTCAAACAACCACCATGAAAAGAATTGTCATTTGTGCACCAATGGCACTTTGGCAGCTTTGGCAGCTAGATTTTGGGTAATCTCTGCTCGTGAGGAGATCCGCGAGTGGGAACGTGAATGTACCTGGTGTAAACGGAGGTACACCAAGCCGTCTACTCAGATAATGGCAAATCTTCCTAAAGGTTCGAGTAAGATCGTCCAAAGCTTTTGAACAAGTAGCTGTAGACTTTGCTGGTCCCTTCATTACCATTCAAGGGAGAGGCAAACGTCGTACAAAGAGATATTTATGTTTATTTACTTGCCTCACAACAAGGGCAGTCCACCTAGAAATTGCTTTTGGCTTGATGCAGATTCTTTTCTTAACGCATTCTTTCGAATGACAAGTCGACGAGGAATACCTAAAGAGGTACTTTCAGACAATGGCACCAACTTTGTTAAAGCTGCAAAGAACTAAAGCATTGGTTCAAAGCAATCTGACTCTGATAAGGTGAAGGGTTCCTTGGCTAACAGAGGTATCAATTGGAAATTCAATCCACCTTCAGCTCCTCATTTTGGTGGAGTGTACGAATCTCTTTATCAAATCAGCAAAACGAGCCATATGTGGAATTTTAGCAAAAGGAGACCTTTCAGATGAGGAGCTTATGACTGCATTTATTGGTGCGGAGGATCTTTCAATTCAAGACCTCTGACTTATCAGAGCTCTCATCCAGATGACAATGTTCCCTCACGCCAAGTCATTTCCTTCATGGATTGCTTGGAGGAAGTTTGGCTCCTGACATTGATTGTTCTCCATACAACCCAAAGAAACGTTGGCGCCGCATTCAAGAACTTCTCAGACACTTTTGGAGAAGATGGATGCGTGAGTGGTTGCCAACATTAAATCTGCGCCGAAAATGGTGCAAGTCCAGCAGCGATTATCAAGTTGGTGATGTTGTAATTGTAGTGTCGCCTGAAACTCAACGAGGATGTTGGCCACTTGGAAGGATTGTTGGAACTCATCCTGGTGCAGATGGTCATGTCAGGGTGGTGGATGTCCAGATGGGATAGGACAGGGGACAAACACATGTGGTCAGTTAGTTAGTTGGGTCTTAAAATCTCAAGGTGAAAACTTGTGTTGACAGTATCGTGATTGTCTTAGTTTCTTGAGCCCAAATTGTAAGACATTCAGCATTTAGAAATTTAGTATTAAGACAATTAAACATTAGTTGAGCATATTTCAAACAGGCCTGAAATTTACTGCATTTTGTGAAGACATTTCTAGTTCAGTTTTCTGGGTCCCTTCAGTTCATTTAGTTGATTTTCAATGTAAATAATATTTACCATAATTTAGTTTTGGCCTAAGGTTGAAATACAACCTAAAGCCACCCAGTTTAATTTTACTTGCACATAGTTTTCTAGGACCCTTTCAGTTCGTTTAGTTTGGTGTGTGTTTCCTTTTAGTCTATTTTTTTCAATAAAGACTTCCACTGTGCATTCCTCCGCTACATTTTTGGTAGCTTTCTGAACATATCCCCCTCCATGATAACATACTGTTTATCATGAGACAACATTTTTTAACTAACAAAACTATTTACATTTCAGATTATTTACAACCTGAGAATGTTCCTGAAATTCTGTCATGATTCTTTATTCACCATTCCATTCTAATGGACAGATTTTGGTGATTGGTCTGGTGAATTTCGTCCTTCCCACCTGGACATCCACCACCCTGACATGACCATCTGCACCAGGATGAGTTCCAACAATCCTTCCAAGTGGCCAACATCCTCGTTGAGTTTCAGGCGACACTACAATTACAACATCACCAACTTGATAATCTCTGCTGGACTTGCACCATTTTCGGCGCAGATTTAATGTTGGCAACCACTCACGCATCCATCTTCTCCAAAAGTGTCTGAGAAGTTCTTGAATGCGGCGCCAACGTTTCCTTGGGTTGTATGGAGAACAATCAATGTCAGGAGCCAAACTTCCTCCAAGCAATCCATGAAGGAAATGACTTGGCGTGAGGGGAACATTGTCATCTGGATGAGAGCTCTGATAAGTCAGAGGTCTTGAATTGAGAAGATCCTCCGCACCAATAAATGCAGTCATAAGCTCCTCATCTGAAAGGTCTCCTTTTGCTAAAATTCCACATATGGCTCGTTTTGCTGATTTGATAAGGGATTCGTACACTCCACCAAAATGAGGAGCTGAAGGTGGATTGAATTTCCAATTGATACCTCTGTTAGCCAAGGAACCCTTCACCTTATCAGAGTCCAGATTGCTTTGAACCAATGCTTTTAGTTCTTTTGCAGCTTTAACAAAGTTGGTGCCATTGTCTGAAAGTATTTCTTTAGGTATTCCTCGTCGACTTGTCATTCGAAAGAATGCGTTAAGAAAAGAATCTGCATCCAAGCCAAAAGCAATTTCTAGGTGGACTGCCCTTGTTGTGAGGCAAGTAAATAAACATAAATATCTCTTTGTACGACGTTTGCCTCTCCCTTGAATGGTAATGAAGGGACCAGCAAAGTCTACAGCTACTTGTTCAAAAGCTTTGGACGATCTTACTCGAACCTTGGGAAGATTTGCCATTATCTGAGTAGACGGCTTGGTGTACCTCCGTTTACACCAGGCACATTCACGTTCCCACTCGCGGATCTCCTCACGAGCAGAGATTACCCAAGTAATTACCAGACCAGTACAATTTGCGAAGTGGATGGGTGGAAGATCCGACCAGATGGCCTGAAATTACTTTCACTGATATTTATCTCATAGACACTCCAGGACAGTTTACACACAATTCCATGCGTGCATTTAAGTCTTTGAAAGCCTATGAATATGTTGAAAGTGGACATGTCCTACCGATCCAGTGTCATGAAATTGAGAAAGAATCACCGTTTTGTTTGCTGAAAACAAAGGTGATACCATCACAACGTTTGAGAGACAAGCCTCACCAACCTTGGGTCTACCTCCAAACAAATACTGGGGCAGTGTACTTTGCACACTGTACATGTATGGCAGGTGAGATTTTCTAAATAATAATATTTGCATTTTTCATCTCAATCTGTAAAATATAATAATATATTTAATGAAAATAGAACAAAAAAGTTAATATTTCCATTAAATCTTCACAACAAAATTATTTTGTCGACGGTAAGCATATTTTAAAGTCACTATTCACAATGAGATGACAATATCCATACAATATTTGTTGTTGTTTTTTTCAGACTTGGGGAAGTTTGCAGCCATGTTGAAGCTCTTCTTTTTAAAGTTGATGCTGCAGTAAGAGCAGTCAAAGTCATGTACAAGCTATGCCTGAAGATGGAATGCCACATATCGAAAGGAGGTAAATTTCCTAAAGTAATTGAGGGATTGTTCGGAGGAAGCCAGTGATATGACAGACAGGAGAATAATGGGATTAAGATTGCTTGGTGCTAAGTTGGTTGTAGGCAGTGGGGATGTAAATTGTAATACCCTTGGTCTCTGTTCATGGTTGGTTGGAGTCTCTTGATTTGAATGACTTTTAGTAGCTTTCTGTAGTGTGTGTGATTATTGGTGAGTACATTGATGCTGTTCCAAAGCAATCTTAATCTTACACCTGTCTCACTGACTTCCTCCCAATAATCCCTCCATGGCTTATTCTGTTTGTTGACAAATGCCTTCTTGTGTAAACATTCTCCAACCTTGTACATCAACCTCATTAATTGTGCTAACATCAATCACATACTTTTCAAACTTTACTATGTAACCTAGCCTTCAGTATTGTATATGACTTGCTTGATAACAGTGTTAGTAGCTACACCGAAACGTCACTCATATTATATTAAAGAAGTTGTATATCCATAGAACTCTCCTCGTTCATCCCGCCAAAAACTGGAATATTGCTGAGTGCGGTGTAAACTCAACTCAACCCCTCATTCATCACACCAACTTCTAAATGCCACTCAAAGAAGTTAATGAAATTATTTAATTACTACAGTGAGTGTGACTGCTGTGGCAAAGGATGCCTTGAAATAAAATGTCCTTACAAACACAGGGACAATACAGTTCATTCTGCTATCAAGGACAGAGACTTCTGTTTGGATCAGAAAGCCACAGATATTACACACAAACACAGTTACAAATGCAGTTTGTAGTTTTCACCAATGTTGACATGTGTATTTCTGTAACAAACTTATCGACAAATGTGACTCGTTCTTTTTTTCCCATGTACTACCAGAGATTGTTGCAAGGAAAAGTGATAACACTAAACCTTCTCAATGTGCTGAGACTGACTTTGCTAACACTGGAGTGAGTGTGGAGACTGAAGTGTGGTGTCTGTGTCAACAGGAAGAGCATGGACGCATGATCTGATGTGAAGGTTCCAACTGCTCATACATTTGGTTTCATTATGCCTGTATAAACATTAGAAGAAAGCCAAAAGGAGATTGGTATTGCCCAAGCTGCATCATGGGTTGATTCCCACATTGTGTACATTTGCTCTGTGTATATTTGTATGGAAACATTCAGATTTCATGTGTTTATATAAACTTAAAACATGACAAATAATTGTTGACATCATTACAACGGATGAAAATTTATTCCATCTTTAATTACTCTTCCACAATATTTATAAAAGTATTCAAAAAAGACTGAACTTGTCCATTGTTTTATTACTGCATTTTGGGAATGTTCACAATGTTCATGCAAGAAGTTGAACATGCACATTACTGACTGGTATGTGCCATTAAGAAAGAAAACACTTGTGATAATTCATTACCACTGAGTACAATTCTCACATGTTCACAATTCAGCTTTATAGTAGTGCTTTTTAAACATGTCACTGGAAAAAAAGTCCATGTTTACAAGCTTGGAAATGTCTTGGAAAGATGATGTTTCCAAGACATTTCCAATTTTGGAAAGATGATGTTTCCAAAAAATTTACAATTTTGGAAATGTCCACAAGGGGAGATGGTAAATTATTGTTATTTGCACGCCCCGGGACCTAATCCCTTGTTGATTGATGAGTGAATCAAGGCAGTTACTAGTCACCAATTAACAAGGCCTACTGCCTTGTTAATTAACAAGTTTTTATGCCTCTTAAAGAAGCCCCTGGAAGTGAGTTAAATCTTTGATGGGCATTAAGAAGTGGAATGCATTACTGTGACCTGATTTTCACCTGATGAAGGAGCAAGCATATGCTCCGAAACTTCGTGTTATTCACAATAAAGAAGTTGACATCCATAAATCTTGCTTTTCGTATTAAAAAGGTAAGTTATTAAAATCTGCTGAGCTGTAGGCTTGTTAATCATGTGGTTTCAACAGTTGGGCTGTGAAATAGGTTAGCGCAGCTTGGAAGCGGGTTGTCCGGTGAATACTCGGTGAAGGCTTTGGTGTGAGCTGTATTTCTAATGTGTTGTTGATATTTCACAGGTGCGAGCATTTTATATGTTATGACAGTAGATTACCGATATAACTGTTTATATAATTTCATTTGTCTATTTCACCACACGTTCATCTAACCGAGTCACTTTCTCAGTTTGATACTTAAAAGCAATGTGATTATTTAGCAAAAATGTCTAACTGTGATATAGATATGTCGTTGTCACAGACAAAACTCAATGTCTGTTTTATTGACACCTATGTGTCTGCCTGCCTGTCTGCTAATGACAATGTTCAATACACAACTTCGATCACTGACCACATGCAAATTGAACTTAACACCAATCAGGCTATACACCATAAGCAAAAAGCATCGATTTATGGCCCGCGCTCGGTCTCATTATGTAATTACACAGACAGGCAGGTGATACTTGTACACATGACATGTTATGATGTCTGTTGATTGCAAAATGTTATACACAAGAAAGGAGCATGTTTTTACAAAACCTAACATCTATATATATATATACACACACGAGACGTGAGGCATCTGCAAATGAACCAGCCGTTACACTTGAGTGCACACCCACCTGCTCTGACTGGGTTCGGTATCCCGGCTGCTTCGTTTCTTGGGAAGTAAACCCAAGTACAAAATATTGCACTTTTGATTTGCGATTGTACGCTTATAATTTTGTTTAAATCTTTTTCATAATCAGCAATGTATATCATATGTCATGAATAAGTGATAATTGTGTTTTAATTATGTTTGATGTTTTGGTTGCATATGACCTTTAAGGCGCAAGAGGATCACCAGACCATGTTAATTAGCAAGACAATGGTACGGATGGGTGGGGATTGTGGGGGAGGAGATGACCAAGAAAAACACAAGTGGATTGATTGCTCATTATTGGCTAATTAAATTACCTTTTTAAAGAAAGTTTCGCGAAGTTTCGCTCTCAAACCTGGGATAACTAGCTGCACCAATTAAGGGTAGTTACGTACTAGTAAATGCAATCACCCGAGAGAAGTACAGAACAAGTAACATTCTTGATCACTAATATCACAATCAACTGAGGGAAAAGGATGCGAGAAGCAGCATTATCCGTTGAGATGTATGAATGCAATATTTAAAAAAGGTTACGTCATGAGCAGGATGGGAGAAGTAGCTTTACCAATTACTTGCAAAGTATATATGCCCACATATACATCACATTTCCTTATCATATTTTATCATGGCTGAGAAAGGTACAAAGTTAGATGTTAGGAGACCAGGTGGAGAATTGTTGCTGGATGGATATAGGTATCTGAGACGAACTGCCAACAGGAATGGTACCATTATATGGAGATGTCAGTGCCTGAAAACAGCCTCAGTCACTACAACAGCAGATGGGACTGTTGTCAGAAGAGGGGACAAACAGCATACACATCCAGACCAAAGCTCTATTGGTTCCTATATCCTTACCAGTAATGTAAAAAAACGGGCACGAGAAGAGCTGACAAGGGTACCAAAGTTCATTGTCAAAATTGGGATAACTGGCTAGATAAATTACAGAAGTGAGAAATTTCACTGTCAAATTTGAGGCTGTCAAAATCGGGACTAAACCTATGTGGATATTGATGGATACATTACTCGAACAAGGTAATAACCTGACATTGTTGCAGACTTTAGTCTGTTTTATTTCTAATATTTGCATTTTGTTTTTATTCATTTGTGGTAGCATTCAACAGAATAATTTGTTTTCGCCGTGTAGCGTAATGCGACAGACAACATACACTAGGTCATACCGAGGGCGTGTGGGAAATATGATTCATGTTGGCATTCTATAATATGTCTAGATATTACAGTCATGTTATAAATACGCTATAAGTATAAGTAGATCGTATGCTTTTTATTAAGTTTCAAAATGCATACAAATATGGCAATAAAATAATTAGGATTATAAGACAAAATATAAAGACATAGATTGACTGCCTTATTTTTCAGTCATGATGTTTTACCACTGGCAGATGATTAAACTTCAAACTGTTTTCATTTGTTATAATAAAAATGAAGATGGAAATATTATCGAGTAAAAAAAGATTTCATTTTGTTGATCAATCTATACCTATACGATCAATTGCGCATGCGAGTGGCGCAGCAAAGGTCACGAACCCATTGAAAATACTGGGATATCATCCGGGTGCTCAGGGGAGAAAAACAATAACAAAAGCAACAACCAGTGCGCGGAAATTGCTCTGGATCAGTGCCTTGTTAAATGTGTTCATCATATGATTGTTTTAATCATGTTTTTACACCGTCGACTTCCGTGTGCGATGTGTTCACTTCCATCAACCACCAGCTTATAATAACACGTCACATGCGATTAGCCATGTGCTAAAATAACACACAAACTTCAAAGCCTGCCCCTTGTCAACGTCCTGAGCCTTATAAAAATTGAAAGGTCGGCTTCCTGAGTCGACATCTCAAACTATTTTCATGTAAGTGGTGATAATTCCTGAGCATAAGAGAACAGATTGGCTTGTTTGGAATTTAATGCTTTTCATAAACTAGAATCTCATAAACTATTTGTTTCTGGAATCATCTGTGATATGAACTTATGTAGTGATTTCTCTAGAAATTATTTAACGTTATCTAAAATTAAACATTTAGTCACCTTTTATTGTATATGACCAAATTAATAGTTACACTATAAAGATTTTAAGAAGGAATTCATTTGGGTTCTTTTTGCCTCAGTCCGCCCGTGTGTGGACAATATAATAATTATCTATTATCAAGTTCATGATATTTCGTGAATACACCAACTGCATAACACCGTCTCTGACCACAAACCCAAATGGGTTGTTCTCTATTCGCCTACAGTCTTAAAACAACAGTCTTGACTGTTGATTTCGCAATGATAAACCACCCAAACGGTCCATCCCTTGTGACAGGTGTTAATTAGAGGGTACCATTAAAGAATGTATTCTACTACAATAAACCTATTATTCCCTGGCAAGGGTTCACTTTTATGACATGTAATAAACCCTGTCCAGTTAGTCAGTGGGTCCGGTAAACTTTTATTTAATCAATGATGTAACGTAGGTCTATGTAATTTATGTTTATGCAAACCGTGACAGGTCAAAACTATTTGCGCTTCTGTGGATAATAAGTAAAACATACACTTAAAACGGTATTTTGGAAAATGCTAGCCATATCAGGGCAAATATGACAGTCAATATCAATTTTCAACACCTAGAACAACAAGGATGCAGACGAGTGAAGTTATACCAGGGATAATCTGCAATGTCTTATAGTCTCCCTGGTTATACTAAATATAGAACTGGTTCCTAGTTGATCCCATAGGAGGACGAATACACTCCTAGGAGGACGAATACACAGTCTATACACTCACGGGGATCCTTGGGAAAAGGAGAAACTGAAAGAAGTAGTGGTAAAATCCTTCCTAAATTTCCAAAAAATTTCCAAGCCTTGGAAACATCTTTCAATTTTGGAAATTTTGGAAATATGATATTTCAAATTGGAAATTTTTGGAAATCACCATTTTTTTTCTTGTGTGGATACAAATGTGACAGCACCAACAGGAGACACAGCTACAAGAAGCTTGATGGTGTTGTGACTCTTGATACAAATGTGACAGCACCAACAGGAGACACAGCTACAAGAAGCTTGATGGTATTGTGACTCATGTCATGGCTCGAGCTGTCAGATTTCGAGGTCTCTATGAATATCTCACAACAGTCAATGATAACCCTGCAGTTTTGTATGTTCTTTAATCACTTTCTCGCATATGACGAATCACTTCTTCTTTGTCCGGCCACTGTATAAGGAAGGCTAATTTCTTCGCTAAAGGTGGCAGTGTAGAGTTGATAAGGTCACTGACATGCTGACGCGAGACTCCGAACCTGTAAGCTAAGTCCATATCAGCTGTGTTCAGTCTTAGTTTCATCAACACCAACATTAGAACGCTTGCAGGGTTCATCTTCATGGATGTTGGCAAAACAGAGGTACAAAACTGCACCAACCACAAAAATGCAGCATATGTTGGGATACCAGTATAAAAGACAGTCCTTGCATCTCGTATACCCCCTGCTAAGAAGGCATCTCCAAATTTAGCACTTCCAAGTTTGTTCCTTGTTTCTCTCAGTTCATCCTGCAGCACACTCAATTCATCTAAAAGCTGTCTGTTCTCCCTTTGTAGACTGGAGATTTTCTTCAGGCATGGGTCGTATATATCTGAAAGTAAACAGCAAATTTTGAATACTGTAAATGGTACTTTAACAATGGCAGTAAAGTCCATTATTACAAGCAAATTTGAACAAATGTATACAGAAACATGTTTACTCATGTTTACATAATTCAATTTGGACAGAGTCGATGAGAGGCGTATACCCTGTATTTTAACCACCCCAATTATGTATATTGTCACACATTATAATAGCATAATGCAAAATAACAAGCACCTGCTCCTGTTTCATTTTCTTTATCAACATGATCAAGGAGAACCAGTGACTCCAAAGAATCATTCAGATGTTCACTTCTGTTTCTCACTGTTGACATCTCCGTCAGGACAGAGGCAGCATCTTTCATCTCTACAAGTTCTTTATTCCGCCTTGATTTGTCTTCATTCCCTCTCTTGATCCTCTGAAACCTGGCCTGTTTGGACTCTGGTGTAGCCAATTCTTTCTTCTCATAACTCATATGAGGAATGAAGTCTGGATCAGTAGGATCATTCTCTGCAGAACCTGTCCACATGGTATCATATAAGACTTTAAAATAAGTTTGATAATGTAATACAATATAAATGAAATTAGAACATGTCATCAAGGTTCTATATGAAATAATTTACAGTAAATGAAATTGTTTTCAGCTTCAATTTTGGGATGGAATTATAAGTATTATCTATGTTCTAAAATGGCAAATGGCTGATTTCCACCGCATTTTCTAAATATATACGCAAGTGCTAATCAAATCCACTGTATGACCAATGATCGAAAACAGGACAATGACATTCAATTACTTTTGAAAAGCTGATTCTCCGATTTAGTTTCTAGAGTAAATAATAAATGAAGCCGACTGAAATATGTTCATTGAAGCCGACTGAAATATATTCATAGGTTATTTACTACCTGACAGAAAGTGGTCTCTACAAACACGATCTGGTCCATTTTTCCCTGTTGGTAGCTTTGAGCCACTTCGATCGCCGCTCACTTTCTTTCGGTATTCGATGGAATTTCACCCCAGATCCTGACTTGAAACGGTTGACACATCCAACAACAACACATGATATTACCATACTGAACGAAATCGACGAAACTCCAACTCAAAGAAAATGTGATGACGATACTTCGATTTGAACGTGCTGGAATCTATGGTTCTCGCAATGCTTTCTGCCTACCGGATGCGCTTGGTGGGGGTCACGTGACCAAAACAATGACGTCACTGCGGCAATTCCTATATCGAGACTCGAAAAGTTCTGAGTTGATTCAGCAGTTAGTTAGAGTTCGTATAACTAACATGCCTAGTCTCACCACTTGAAATCCTAGGAAACAAACATCCTCGTCGCCAATGTAGTGTTCTATGGGTCCTTCACTGCATGACTTGCTGTTCCCAGGAGGAGAGACGACACAACTAAGCGTTGACGATAAGCCTTTTACTTCCCGAGTGCGAGGGCATCCGGTACGCCACGCACATGCGCACTACATCACATTACATCAAATGATGTATAATATTACTACGCTACAGTGGCCAAGCTGAAGTAGTGCTGCAGTGGTGTATACGTGCGCAGTGAAGCGCCGTGAAACCAGACGCATTTTCAATCCAAATTGATATCGTCTGATTTTATGGATTGACCAATCAAATTCGAGCATTTCACGTAGCCATAGTAGAATTGTGAGTACGTCAATCCATGGATTTCCTTTGTCACAAAATTGAAACATACCGACTTGCATGTTTAAATTAACATTCAAATTAGCTACTGGATTTCCTTTGTCAAATTATGACACATATCAACTTTCATATTTAGAAATGTTGGCTTGACATTCAGATAAGCTATTGTATTGTGAAATGATTTAAACGTTCCTAGGGTAATGCACAGATGACAGCTATTGACTCAATATTTCATCAATCTAAAACAAACACTCACCTGTGAAATGATAATTAGTATGTACTGTGCGTTATGTATGGCGGTGTTTGAAATGCTTAAATGACACGAGTGAAAAGCAAATGCTTTTAACTGATCAAACATCAGAAAGCCGTATGGAACGGGCAACAAGTGAATAGTGATCGACACGAGGCGATCACAATTTATTTATCTTATATAATCAATACTTGCAGTATAAATTCATCATCTGACATTACAGTGTTGAATATAGTAAAAATGTACCCAGTCAAGCTACAGTCGAATTCGCCGCTCTAACGTAGTGTCATCTTAGAGCTTAAGCTACTCTGTCATGCATAATTCTGTACCAGTCGTAACTCTATTGGTGGTTATCACGACTCTTCCACTCAGTGTAACTATCAATCGAGCGATACACCAAGACTTACGAAGCAAACTACTCACAAACTATTCACCAGAGATACTACCAACGACCAATGGTTTCGAGCCTCTCAATATATCTATGATATTTCAGCCATTCTCTGTTTTGGGACTTGACTTTGCTGATTCTGTTTTGACTTTTTCGGCAAAGTTTGTTATACACTGGAATGATCCCGATTTGACATGGAATATTGACAACTATGACGGACTTCAAGTGATTTTTCCCTCTCCTACCGATATCTGGACACCAAAGCCTCTCATATCCAACAGTGTGGACTCGAATTCGATTCTTGAAAGTGATAATCCTTTGGTGGTGTCTTATGAAGGATATGTTGTCCAGACGATCGTGAGTACCTTCCAAACCACTTGCAATGTTGAGAGCACAATGTTTCCATTTGATAGTCAGAGATGTCACATTGTTTTTGAGCCTCTCATTTTGTGTCATGTAAGGAGGAATGTGAATTCTTCTGAGATACAAACTTCATCTGAATGGCAAATTGTAAACGCATCGTCGGAAACAGACTCACGTTCAATATACTATACTTTACTCGTGAAACGTGAATCAACTTTCTACGTGACCACCATTTTGTTTCCCATGTGTCTGCTGTCACTCCTGAACGCCTGCTCATTCCTACTACCAATCCACTCAGGAGAAAGGATGTCCTATCTCATCTCCATATGCTTGTCTTATTCCGTGTTTCTGGTCTTCATCATTGATGTGATGCCCAAGTCAGGACCCCTGTCAAGAATGGCTGTGTACCTGATTTTAGTTCTCAGTCAGAGTTGTCTCGCCATCATAACCACACTGGTCATCATCAACAAGAGCGCCTGTAGAAAAGGAGGATCTTGTTTTTGCCAAAGACAAAAATCAACTTTCTCTCCCAACGCATCTAACACTACAAATGACACTACTGGTACACATACTTTAGACATGTTTTTTTTCCTATTTTTCCTCCTGTGGTGGGGTCTCAGCATTCTTGTTTTCTTTGTATAAATAGAACATCATGCTCTGTAAACGCTCTGTAATATGGTTGATGGTTGTTGTTTAACGCTGCACGCAGCAATAGTCCAGCCATCTATGCAATTGTGATGCAATGACATGTGTCTACCAAATCAGCGAGCCTGATCCCCCGATCCCGTTAGTCACGTCTCACGACAAGTTTGGGTTATTGGAGACCAATTCTAACCCTGAACTTCACGAGTGACCCCCAAGGAAGAAGTTCCAATCAAGACTATGTCCAACTATCCAATTTGTGTCGCTGTGCACGAAGAGAGCTTGTCAAACCAGCGGATGGGACTATACAATGGTATATCCACCAAAATTGACTGGCGTGTTCAAGACACTGTGTATGCGTTATGTGTAGTGTAAACTATTTGGATTTTTTATTGCTAAATGTAGATATTTTGCAACAATTATGTACCCGTTTTGGCTGTGTATAGTTTTTCACACACATCATAATAGCTTGACCCATTTTTCTCGTCAAATACATTTTTCAGTGAAGTGAACTCATTTTCAGATTTCTTTGAGTTATCAGGACTAGGGATACAACACTTAATACGACAATTGTCAATCGGAAATGGTCGACTATGAAGTTATAGTGAGACATATGCAGCATTAACACATGCTTTTGATCAGCGCGGTAATGCAAAGGAAGAACTGTCCATAGTATTATCAGAAAATTGGAATCTGTTTGTGGCTGTGTTCAAATGCTTTTCGGTTTACGTGAAGATATATGCAACAATATTGTTTCCTTTGCCAATCAAATGCATTGGAATTACTCCCAATACATTTGTACTTTCATCATCTATTTTGCATGATAATTAATATTTGACTTATATGAGGTATATTTTAGTATATGTTTGCTGATTAGTGTCCAGCGAAACCCCGGTTCTGTGAACGAAACGATTGTATTTGTGTCTTGTATGCACTTAGAGGCATTAAATACTATGTGTATAGCATTATAGCTTTATGGTGCCAAGAACACCAGTTTCGTCCAACAATCAGCCAAGATCTAAACAGCTGTGTGCATCGTATGAGTGTATCTGTCGTAAGGTAATCTTAAAAGTAGGGAGCCTTGACGTGAAACACTCCCTGTGGTCCAGCACTGGCCATAGAGTTGATGGAATATGATGCATGACAGCATGGCGTTGGGGACCGTTGGTTTACAGCATGGCGTTGGGGACCGCTGGTTTACAGCATGGCGTTGGGGACCGCTGACTTACAGCATGGCGTTGGGGACCGCTGGTTTACAGCATGGCGTTGGGGACTGCTGGTTTACAGCATAGCGTTGGGGACCGCTGGTTTACAGCATGGCGTTGGGGACCGCTGGTTTACAGCATGGAGTTGGGGACCGCTGGTTTACAGCATGGAGTTGGGGACCGATGGTTTACAGCATGGCGTTGGGGACCGCTGGTTTACAGCATGGCGTTGGGGACCGCTGGTTTACAGCATGGCAATCGCAATAGCAATTTGGGCAAATTTTCAGGCAAATGACTCTCGATGAGTCGCTTTTCACGTATTGTAAAGACATATATTTCCTACTCTATGACTAGAGGTTAATGGCTTATCCACATTATTGTTGCAATGAATCGGAAACATTAAACCATCTGTAGCTTCTTTTTTAAATAAAGTTAAGACATGCTGACAATTTCTCGACACTGCGATCTCAAACGGCGACCTTTTCTCGGCTGTTCGGACATGTTAACAATCAACTAACAAAGATGCACCCCTTCACAATAATAGACCTTACCACTTGTGACAAGGTCACGCAATGCATTAGTATTCACTTGATCAGGTCAAACTGAACAAGCTGTAGTAACTGTCATGTTAGTTAGATTTTATTATATAATATCAATTATTTAAGTATGACGATTTGACTGAAATATTGCCAAAATGACTTTCCATTATGACTCACTCACTCATGTGCAGTACCAATGACTACAGATAGTCCGAGCTTTGTCATACGTTTGTCTTTTTATTGAAAATGAGAAACTGAATGCTACCAATCACAGCCAATCTCATTTCTGAGAATGAGGCCAAGAAGATATTTACTGATAAGTTTACATCGACAAGAACGTACGCATTTAAGCAGCACTGTACACATATGGACAAATATGCGGCAATTTTGTGTTCAATGCGGAGAAGGGAGATATCGAAATGTACGTTTCAAACAGCACTAGTGGTTAAAGCGTTCGCGCGTCACGCTGAAGGCCCGGGTTCGATTCCCCGCATGGGTACATTCTTTGAAGCCCCCGCCGTGATAATGATATTGCTGGAACATTGTTAAAAGCGGCTTAAAACTTTACTCACTCACTCACTCACTCTTCCAATAAACATCCGACAGAGGTAGGTGCTTCGACAGCTCGTATGTGTCCTGTTGACTTCCTTTATAACTGAAAAGTCAATGTCTTGCAATGTCTTCCAGATTTCGGTATCTGAACCTGATTTAGCAACTGTGGTATGAACTCAGTAGACATGTATGTTAACGTTAACATACACCACAGCTACTTGCACGCCTGACCACTGTGTTGCAGGAGGAATGTAGGAGAATTAAACCGGACAGAATTCAGTCTGACCAATGATAACAGTTCACACAGGTCACACAAGGTACTGACTAGTATCCCTACCATCGAGAAGTCATGACTACCCGAAGCCATTGCTAGGATAGCGAACCCATGCTATAGCAAACTCATGGCATTTTCTATTGGCCTGTTATAATTTGACATCGTGTTTTGGCCGTTTTGACCTGCACCATTGTCCCATTCCAAACCATCTCGAATAATCAAACCTCTAATCGCCAACGACGTGTCCTTAATGGACTTTTAATCGTTCCAAAGCTGCTCAGAAATGTTATTCAACATATGGTTTGTTGAATTGTTTCCCTGGCATAACTCTCGCTGCTACTCGCCAACATATTCTGCCAACGTTGAGTGAGTGAGTGAGTTAATATTTAACGTCACATCGGCAATATTTCAGCCATATCGTGAAGAGAACAGTTTATAGTTACATCAAAGATCAATAACGTTGGAATTAAGAACCTGTTGACGAAGAACAGTATAACTACTAGTGTATCACAGATATCCATTTAAAACTAGCAATTAAATCTAAAATATTGGAACTATAAATGACAATACAATATACAAACGGGCTATAGATTGCCAACGACTGAAGGTAGATCACCATTCTAGGGACCATGGGGACTTACATAGTATTTGCTTCCTGCATGGACCCTAGCTGGATTTACACCATCCCTTCAGCCGTCAGCAATTTAGCAAATCTAGCCATATATTAAAAAAACACGTATTCTACGATTAAAAAAGTGGAAAGTTTTAATTTACTTTGAATGTTTCGGGACTTCCGTACCCTCTCAGAAGGACAATAATTATACAGTACTTTAACTCGCTTTGAGGATACAGCGACTAACAATCGGAGTTCCTAATTTAAACTTCCAAACATAAAATATTTATCTCTTTACATCTCATTGAACAAATCTAATTCTTTTAAAAATGCAATAATTAAAAGAGAACTTATATTATTAAAAAGATCCTTCATAGTTTGATTTGAAATATTCATCACAATCAAGCAACACATACTTAACCGTGATTCTTTCATCACAAAGGATGCAAAACGACAGATCCTTACCTTTCAATAAGTATTCACGAGTATATCTTGTGTGGCCAATACGACATAGTCGTATGATGACCTCTTCAAATCTGGACTCACAAATCAAAGCGTTACATTAACCGTGATTCTTGCATCACAAATATGCAAAACGGCAGATCCGTACCTTTCAATAAGTATTCACGAGTATATCTTGTGTTGCCAATACGACATAGTCGTATGATGACCTCTTCAAATCTGGACTGACAACTCAAGTAAGTATAACCAATATACGGTTTTATTGCATGTAATTTATTAATACCTACTTGAGTGTCCCACTTCCTCTGCATCAGGTCACGGATGTACGATCTGATGGTAGTTTTGGAATCGGAGTATGGGATGAGAAATGGTGCCACAGATTTGTTGAGTGCTGCTTTAGCAGCAAGATCAGCCATTGTGTTGCGAGATATGCCAACATGGCTGGATAACCAACAAAAGACGATGTCGTATTGGCCAGTAGCAAGATCATTATATAATTGAATACTTTCTTTTTTAAAAGTGGATGTTTACGGCTGTTAATATGGCATTTGCTTCTGCTGTGAAAATAGAGCTGGTGTCCGGCAATCGAGAAGATATTGTTCTGGATACAATGACAGTGGCACAAGCAACTGCGCCACTATCCTTTGATCCATCTGTAAATAAGGATTTGTATGCATTATATTTACTTTTTAATTGATCAAATTCGTGTTTATACTGTAATTCGTTAGTTTCTGATTTTATAAAATGTAGTTAATGTTAGGACGACAGTTCCCAAGGAGGAGAAGAAAGAAGGCGGAAGGAGAATTATTTTTTAGCTCGATGCAGCAGCAGAAATGAATGGTTTAATTCTGTGCCCAGAGGCGGAACAAGAGAAGGTTTCTTGTTGTATAAATCCTCATAGAGGGGATTGAAGACACACTTAAATGCAGGGTTATATTCGTTAATATATTTTTTGTATCATATTGTAAAGATAATTTTATACGGCGTTGTGTTAGAGATGGCTCATCGGCCTCGGCATAAAGATTTCTCATAAAGAGAAGTTCTGAAGGACCCAAGACAGTCTCAGACCTTGATGGTGGATAGAATCTAATAGTTTTAGGTTGCTTTTACAGGCCCCACCACAAACGAGGGAGCCATAATCAAGTTTCAATCGGACCAATGATCGATATAGGTGTAGGATGGTACCTTGATCCCCTCCCAACTTAGAAGTGGAAACGACAAGTCTAGTGCCTTCAGGCATTTATTTTTTTAGGCATTTGATATGCGGAGGAAAAGTTGAATGGGAGCCGAAAATCAGACCCGAGAACTTGGCCTCCTTGACAAATTTTGATTGGAGTGTCATTTAAAAGTAGTTCTGGGTGTTTATGCGGTTTGTATTTACGGCAGAAATGTATACAATTAGCTTTGAAATTAGAAAATTGCTACCTGCATGGACCCTAGCCGGATTTACACCATCCCTTCAGCTATTGACAATTTTAGATAATCTAGCCATAAATTAAGATAACATAAATGCTACGATTAAAAAAAGTGGTAGGTTTAAATTAACTTTGAACTATTTCGGGACTTACGTACCCTCTGAGGAGGACAATATTTTTACAATACTTCAACCCCCTTTGAGGGTACAGCCACTAAAAATCTCAGCTACTAATCCAAACTACCAATAATAAAATATTTAATTCTTTAAAGGGCAGTACAATCACTAACTAGTTTGTCAGCACGGAAACAATATACTATCACTAAACAAGACGACATGGTCATCAATATCCCTTGCCACAGTGTCCTGTTCCTATTTTGAAAACAATTCATTTTTCCTACAAATAGCGGTACTTAAGCTGTTACATGAAAATCTGTTCCCATTGGGGATTAAGTCAAGAAACGTATGACAAGGGCCATTACTCTGTAACAAATCGTAACACGGTTTCTGTTTTCGAACTCCATCAAGGCCTTTATGTCCTGAAAACACATACCTCATTTTGTTTCCCTATCTACAACAACGTTTGAGAAAATCTGTCCCCATTGGAGATACCGAGCGCTAAGTCAAGAAACACATGACCAGGGCAACAACTCAGTAACAAATTGTAACACGGTTTCCGTTTTGGAACTCCATCAAGGCATTCATGTCCTAAAAACACATACCAAATTTGGTTTCCCTATCTACAACGGTTTTTGAGAAAATCGGTCCCCATTACCTTGGACCGACGGACTGAGCTCGTGGCGGGGGCGGAGGATATAAACACGGACCATAGATCACCACAAAAGAGCGTTATCTGACCATACTAGGGCCATAGGTATTTCTGCTACCTGCATGGTTCTCTTGCAGATTTTACACTACACCTTTGGTTACTTGCCATTGTACATGTTTTTGCCATCAATAACAAAATAAATAAATAGACGTATTGCTATTGAAACCATTGAAAGACACGAATATTATCAGGGGACAATATTTTTAAAGGACGAAGGCATTGCCACAAACAATATTAATCATTATATACTATCAATTGATAATGAACACCTTAGTTAATCACAATGTACAAATAAAACATATCTCTTTGATAAAATCTTTAAGGATTTTGCCGCTTCTATTTACACGTGCCTGGACAGTAAACAGATACTAATGTTTTGACATCTACTGATTGTCTTATAAATAGAAATCCAACACTCACCGGTAAAATGATACTTATAGTGTACTGTGCATTCTATTTGGCGCTGTTTGAGGTCTTAATGGAACTCATCAGTGGAACGCAAATACTTTTAACTGATCAAACACCATACAGCCGAATGAAAAATACTTGATTACAAGTGTTATTTAGTAGATGTATATACAATGTCTTGGCAGTCTTATTGTATTGCAAGTGATAGATAATATTGATAAGAAATCTTCATCTTTCAAAATGAACGAACGGTTATAAATAACAAAACTAAACTATTTGTGAATGTATTTCAACCATGTATACACATGACCTATGTAGTATTTGATATCCTGTCAAACATATCAGTGTGGCAAAGCCAAACATTTATACAAGTTGCGTTAATCATTTTGTATTCATTTTACACATGATGTGCCTGTGTATTGTACTTTTGTAGAGTCAAAATGTTAAGATGTTGCATGTGTGTTGTAGAGTTAGACAAGCAGAAGACACACTCCTAAATATATAACGCCATTGAAAGAGAATTTCACGCTTATGGTGATGGTGTTTTTCTACACTAACAGTGTTTCTTTGTAACCGTGCTTGATGTTTTAATAAAAGGTTAAACATGATCTGTGTTTTGTTTTCTCCCTCTGAAATTCTGCATCACATGTTTAAATTGACTTATTGAGCACATGTTTTTGTATGAAAGGTGAAAGAACTGGGATTGAATCGGAAGGGGGTATAATATACTCATGCCAATAACGGTTGTCACCCCCCAGCCTATTAGTAAAATTGAAGGGGGTGACAACCATTATTGTCATAAGTATATATATAACATTGAAAAAGTATTTTTCGCTTTAAATACCACATTATCCCAGCACCTCCTTTTCTGTGGATATTTGAGGACTTTTGATGTATGTTATCAGATGCTACTCAACGTTCAAAGATTTTCCATTGATAAATTGAGTGAGTGAGTTAACATTTTGCACACCCATATAGCGATGAGAAAAAGTTATTTAGTAAATGTCTGTTGACGAAGGGCAAAGAAACAGTAAGATAGATATTACTGTTCAAGTTTAAAAGAAACTACGTCACTATTAAAACAGAAGATTCAGGACAAATAAACATTTTACTTTAGACCACTATCAACCAAAGCATCATAGGAACGTTTCCTTTGCTTCCTGCATGACTTCCTAGCAGGATTTATGCCATCACTTTGGTCTCTTGTGAGTGAGTGAGTCTACTTTTAGCAGTATTCCAACAATATCACTACGGGGGGCACCAGAAATGGTCTTCACATATTGTACCCATGTTGGAAATCGAACCCGGGTCTTCGGCGTGACGAGCGAGCGCTTAACCATTAGGCTACCCCCGTCGCCCCCTTTGGTCTCTAGTGGTTGTATATAGAATAGAAGCGACAAAACCCTTTACGCATCCACAAGAAATCTCTGCTGAGTCGATTGTACAATTGACAATGTCATGGGAAAATATTTGTTTCAACAGTATTACAGCTGTTCGATGTTGTTTGTGACAAATTGAGTCTTAAGGAAAATGATTTTTATGGATGTCAACTTCTTTATTGTTGAGGCCAAAATGATTATGTATTTTAGGATCGCTTTATGTTAATTCCCACTCAGATCATGGGAGGTAACTCTAATTCACTTTTTAAGTGTAGTGTCGCATGCAGATATCGTGCAGAGTAGAATGTCGAAGGACCACGTGTGGAGAAGTGATACAAAGTGGTATGGAAAGACTTTCATTTCTCAATATAAAACATGTATTTTATGTTTATTTGGTAGGCAACAGTTGTAGATAATATATTTACTTTTATTCTGTTGCCTTTACGACTTTCGACAGTTTCGTCTTGAAAGTAGCTATATCCACCCGCGGGAGGTAACTCTTGTCGCCCTAAATCTCGACCTGAAAACTTGTCTCAAAAACCTCGCAAAACAGTGGGTCATTCATTCTCTTCCCATAGAGGTTACTTGTCATATCTTCCTACGAACCTCTGTTCTAATACGGCCATATTTTCCGGTTCTCGTAAAATCCCCTAGCGGCAAAAGATCGCAACACGAATTATCTCCCTTCTTTCTATCCAATCAGAACACGTGTTACATCGACTTAGATTCAACTTGACTAACACAAGCAAATGTGAGGCCACAAATATCCCCCATCTGCCGGGGACTTGTGTTGATGTTACACACAAGACGTTTAATGGCTAGCTTGTCCGTTGTCAACGAGGGCGATGGAGATGCCACTGATCCGCCATAATATGACTGAGTTCTGTCTAGAAGAAACGTAAGCGCATCGCGCAGGGGAACAGGTTTAGTTTTCTCAAAGTAGACGGAAATTACCGAGGCCTTGCGAATGATCACTTTTGAAACAACGTCGCTGATTGCACAACTAAATCTGATTGCCTCCAATCACGAGTCTTGAACGCTCACACCATGAAAGGGCCGGGCCGTATTAGAACAGAGGTTACGTAGGAAGATATGACAGGAGTAACCTCTGTGGGAAGAGAATGTGGGTCATTTAGAACTCCGCTTTTTTGGTAACGAAAGGAATGATTGGTCAGTTATTTTTAGCTAGCCAATAACAAGAAGGAACATAAGGTGAAGCGTGCGCAATTTTGAATCTGAGAAACTGATGAAAATGTTGACTTTGAAGCAATACAAATTTCCGAAGTGTGTAGTTAATTAACTCCTTGCCGCACCTGCTTGAATTGTTTTATAATAATAACCCATTACTCCCTCTACAAATGCGTAGCAAAAAATATACAATAAGTGCACGTGTTGTAGATGAAAAAAATTGTTAAAAAATACGCTACCATTCCGAAAGTGAGAATGACATCATCATCCGGGCATTTTCTCTCTGCAATCAACAGCAATTTCGGAGTACGCATCGTCAACAAGCTTCTGAAAACAGCGATTTTACACAAAAATGGTGAGTGACAGCTGATCTTATGAATGGAATAACATTAAGTAAGACACTTTTAGACAGGGGATAATGCATAATAAGCCCTGTATTCTTCTAAAGTAAGGATAATGTCTGCAGAATCGTTCTCTATTTTACCATTGAATATTTGCAATGCAGCATTGCACTGCAGAAGTGACAAAAGAGTCACTGAACATAATTAATGATAAAGTTAATGCTTTGTGTGAGAAAAATTCAAAATCACTACAGAATGATGACAACGAAATTATTTATATTACATAATGTAGCCCATCAGTTCATTAATTCATAATTGGAAATGTCACAGCTGTCGTAATAGTTGGCTAATTTGGGGATGGTTAGATCGGAAATGTATTATTCTTGTAAGGATTGTCGCTTCCTTACTGTCAACTGATAACCATGAAATCATTCAAAGAGGTATGAAACGCTGCTCGTCACCGGAAGTGCTGTGGTCTCGCGAAGTGCTGTGAACCACTTACGGGCCCTATAGGCTTCAAATGCATTGTAGACTTGGACATTCTTAATGCATTACGTCAACACCAGAGAATATACAATCTCCATAGGGGCAGTGGAATATATATCATGTGATGAAGACATATAGAACTGAACAGGGATGTCCAGCGTGTGGATGTTCCTATCTTGAAGTAATTAAATATGATTTATGCAAAGGATACATGACGTTGAAAAAGTCTGGTATTCAGTTTGGCCATGGCTTGGTTTCTCTTGTCATTGTACGGGCATGTGACTGTCGATGTCACATTTCACTGGCTGTCAAAGACACTAATTTCATAGTGAATGACTGGATATGAATAGTCTTTCCAAATTAGTGATCGTCCTGATGGTGATGTTTCTAGATTAACAGTGTTCCTTTGTAACCATACTTGATGTTGAAATAAAGGTTAAATGATCTGTGTCTAGTGTTTCTACTATTTAATATAATTCAGCTCATCATACTATTAGTTTCGTCACTGGCAAAGGAGCCGTCCGACCGTTGGTATGTTATGACAAAAAATTATTAATTGTCATTACATATTGTTACCAGCCAAATAGTTTTCCAACATGTACTTAATTGCAACCCTGCTAAATTGAGGTTCATATAGTTCCATCAAACCAGCGTCAGTGACATCATGATCATGAGGAACTAATACATCACGCCTCCATGCTTGGAGATATTCTACAGGACCTGACAAGGAAGACATCAATTAAACAAAATTGTTTACAAAGGGAAATAACTGTAAATGATCTGCATACTATTCCAATCACTTTAACACTCTGTCATCTGAACCTACTGCTTTTTTATTTAATGAGTATTTCATGTTTCAGAAATGGAAGTGATTACTTAAGGTTTTTAATCCGTAACACGAAGCAGAGGTTATTCCATATATGTATACATCTATCCAAATTAATAGTGTTGTCGTTTCTTTTATCTTAGGTAAACGATTCCTTTTGGCAATGAAATTACGTATGATTGTTTATTAAATCAAGTCAATGTGTTGGGCGCAAATAGGCCTCTTATTGGCCCACGTCCCCCTAAAACTATAAAACCAACCAACCAACATACTATTCCACATTCCGAGACCTGTCTCCTTTAGAAATGTGCCCCCGGTATTTATGACATTATACATCAAGCATATTTTAGACTCTATATGCTGATATGCATATGATATAGTATATACAATCTTAAATCAATGAGTAAGAAATACAAAATACGCACATATTTCATCACACACATATATCTGACATCTCTCATTGTCAACATACTTTAGCTAAGGCATTGTTAGAAGTGCACAATTATGATCTTCATCATTACTGTCCATGAACTGGTCTTCTCACATTAGCAATAAATATCTTTGCCGCATTTTATACATTTGAGTCATCAAGTTTATTTGATTGTTCTATTCCGTCTACTTCTACTGGCTTTACCTTAGATTTTACAGATTTCTTTACAAATAAGGAGATATATTGCTTGGTCCAGCAAATGTGCAACCAGATTCCAGTATGATTTCCGGGTTAAGTATTTGACAATAAGTAGGCATCACCAAATATACCAGCTCCCCTCCTTTTGGATCTGTTTCTTTATGCACATGAAATCAGAATGTCTGCTCAGGTGGCAAAATCAAAACAAGGACATTTCGCCAAGACGTATACTGAAGCTTTAGGTATATCAATGATCTAATATGGTTCAGTAACCTTCATATATCAAATTCCATTCAACTGAAATATAATAGCAAATATATTAGCTAAAATGTTAAAATCCCATTAAGTTCACTTACCAGCCTAACACATGTACAACAACAGCGTCTCCAACGCGTCTATACGTTAACTATAACTGTCTTCCTCGCGACATATCAGCTCAACTAACCTTCATACAGTTACATCTAACCAACATCAGCGACATCATACTCATACAGAACACCAATAATCAACAGCTGATCATGCTGGAACAGTGTACAAAAGTTAATTCATAATTTACAGTAGCAGCCAACATGGTGGTATAGAGGTATAGAAGAAATTAAAAGGGACAAATACAGGACATTAATGTTGACTATTGGTGTTTGGAAACAGATTTGGAGTTTTTAGAGGGTTGAGATCACTATTTAAGAGATCATTTTCTCTGAGACGGAAGTTAATTGTATCAAGAAAATACAACGCTAACAAGTGATCTAGAAAATTGTGACGCACGGGAAACATATGGGGAGGTATATCTTCTTCTTCAATAAATGCATTGGAAATATTTTTAGTTTGACTGGTATGAAACTAATCTATATACACCTCAGATCTTGGTCTTCACTTATGTATCTATAAGAAATGGTATCTACATGGTGAACAAATTAAGGTAGTTACCCTTTATGGGTATTTTTGACTCATGGAATCTTTTACTCC